GCTTCTTCTTGTTTACATTTTTTAATTCATAACAGCAGGATCTGTGAATGGAAATACTACAAGTCCCATCAGCCCACTAGGGCAGAGGAACTTTTGGTTCTCAATGGAATAAAAGTGCAGTGACATCACCGTACTTGTAGCCCATTGACATTTGCCACCTGTGTTATGTTACTGAATGGGAGTACCTCAGCAGGACATGGATGGGAGGAAGAGTCTGCAGAAGCCAGAGCATTGCACCCGCAATCTACTGATCACAGCTGCAATGCTTTACTGGCTCTGCTGCACAACATCATAATAAATGCATTTTTTTTTTTTAAATGTGGAACTTTCCTTTTATACAAGGTGAACTAACCCTTTAATATCTCCATCAGCCAACAATTTCAGAATATTATGAACAGCTGGCCCCATAGTTCTCAGTATAGGATGATCCCCTTGCACAGTTATGGGCGGATTTAAACACGTGGGACATTGCAGAACTCTGAACGCTGTGCTCATGTACTGCACTGCAAATTGTGCCGATACATGGTTTGCCGCCCCTGCAGGGACATTGAATGCACCCTCATGAAGTGGCTCCTGCAGGTGCAGCTGTCACATGAGTGCCAGTATCCCCCCCAAATGGCAGCTGTCACCTGGCCCAGACACACGCCCCATCCTCCGCCTCCGTCCACCTACTTGCTCATCCTCATAAAAAATATTGGCAGGAATCTCTTTTCGGATGATTTTGCCGAAGATGGTGTCTCCCCCTGGTTTGGCACACTGAGCCTTACTGATCTCATCCGCCATGGCTGCAACCCGGCTGACAAGCAGAGCACAAGGGGCGGTATACACGGGATGTTCACCACCGCTAGAACCAGCCACGGGTTGTCGCCGTCTAGTGACGTCAGGAGGACGGCATGCACTCGACCATTTTGGATTTGGGCAAATCTTCCCACTTTTCTAACAACTGGAATTTATTCTAGTCCTAACTTCTGATGTGGTACAATTGTGGTCATTGAGTAGTCAAAAACAATGCATATCCTCTTAAGACTCCTATGATGAACAATGTGCCAGCGTCTGCCCGATCTAATAATGGCCTCCAAGACTTCC